CTAGGTGATTCTGTGCTCAAATTTGACAACCACTCATGTGCTACAGGAATCCTCTACTATATCCTGGCCTAGTGGTTTAACTTGTTTTATCTTTTTTGGTAAGAGGGAACTCAATAGTCTCTGGAGCAGCCCATCCTGTTGTTAAAACTCTTGTCCTCCAGTTCTTTAAGATGAAATCTGCTTCCCTGTAACTTCTACCTGTGGCTCTAGTTCTGTCCTTTGGGATGAACCAGAGTAAATCCAAGCCATGTTCCACACCTCAAAGAATTTAAGATAATGTTCCAGGACTTCTGGTTTAATAAAATATATGGCTGATAGCTCCTGAAGGCACTTTTACCAAATTTACAATGAAATATCCAGAAAGGTACAAAAAAGGTGCCAATTTACATTACCATCAAAAACTAAGACTTGGAGTAAAAGTAGTAGAAGAAAATTTTTGTGAAAATTTATCTTCTCTTGGAGTAGGGAAGACCATTCTAAGTTTGACACCAAAGGCAGAAATTAAAAGATTTATAGATTTGACTATAAAATTATAGGTAACTTGAATATATTTTTAAAAAGTTAAAAGGTAAAGGATAAACTAGGAAAAACTTTGGCTACATATATATTTGGCTATATATATAATGTTAGACTTTATATAAGGTAAGCACCATATACGTAATGCATAGCACAGGGTCTGACAAATAGTAGGTCCTCGAAACGTTTGATCAATAAATGAATGAAGATGCGTTAAGCAAATGAACGTATAAAAATCAATGCTAACATATCCAATAGAAAAATGGGCCAAGGGCATGTATAGGCAATCGACAAAAGAGAGAATAAACATTTGAAAAATTGTTCCACCTCAAGAACTAAAAATGCAAATTAAATCAGCACCTATCAAATAGCTAAGTTTAATAATGTTGGTGAGCATCTGGGGAGATGGGCTTTTCATAGGTGCCGATGTGAGAGTTAATGCATACAATGTTTCAGGAGGGCAATTTGGTAATATGTATCGACCTTTAAAATTTTGCATGCCATTGGATCCAGCAGATAGCTGGACACTTATCCTAAGGATACATTCATGAATGTGCACAATACTTTGGTAACAAGGATACCATTTACAGCTTCATTTATAAAAATAAACACTTGGAAATATCCAAAAAGAGAAAATAGGCAGAAATACTATGTCACAGATAGACAATAGAATAAGACATGGCCATTAAAATGATATTATACAAGGATATATAGTGGCGTGGAAAGATTATTACTTGAATATGGTTAAGTGATAAAAAATAGGGTACAAAATGGGATGCATACTGTGATGTCCAAGAAATGACCAAGTAAAAGCTCTCAGGGTCCCGTTAAGTCTTCTTTCTCTGACTGAACATTCTCAACTCTTTCAGTCATTTGTCCTTGAAAGGTGAGTGGATTTTCGGAACTCAAAGAGTGGCCCTTGGAGACCATCCTGGAAAATGCTCATGGGACACAGGTTCTAATTTCCATACTTTCTTGCTTTGTCTCTGTGAGTGTGCTCTGCTTTGGCAATGCCCTCCTGAAAGCATGGGTTTGGCTCTTTGTGTTTACAGGGATACCACGGGGACAAGGAACAATATTACCAAGGTGTTAGTTCATTAGGTAGAGATGATGGGAAAGGCATTTTAAGCAGAGAAACTAGAATATGCAAAGGCACAGAGACACAAAAGGTTCTGTCATGTTTGGGGATGGGTGAGCCATTGTATGTGGCTGGAGTCTACTTGGAGTGATGAGGGAACTTGGGGTGAGTAGCAGATGAAATGGAAAGGGAGGTCTTTCTAAACCAAGCTAAGGATTTGGGGCTTTTGCCTAGTCTTTGCCAAGTCTGAAGCCTCAGAATGGCATGTTGAGATTCGTGTTTTAGAAAGAGCACTGGTGGCTATATTGGAAGCATGGGAATAGTTTAAGCAAGGGATACCACATGCTTAGTGAACTTTTTAAATTTTAGGATCAGCCATGTTGCTGGTTTGTTATTTAAGTGGTTTCTTCTGGCATTCTCTCTTTCATGTTGGCCCAGGATCTCCTGGTGGGCTCTGAGGAACAACAGGACTGTGAGCCCATCCCAGGCAGAAGGAGAAAGACAGATGGTGGCAGATAGAAAGCATTCATGTCTCCTGCTGTCATCCCATTCATATTTTCCCTGACGTGGGGCTTGGACAGCTCTGAGGAGGTGGGCGCCAATCCCAGGGAAGGGTGTGGCTCTGGGCGCAGGCCTCCCCCAGCCCTCTGCTCCATGGTGGGGGCTGGAAGCGCTCAGCCCTTTCAGCAGCCTCAAAGGCTCTGTTTGTGGGCCTGTGTCTGCAACTGTAGGGCTGGGGTGGGTTAACTGGGGTTTGGATGGAGCAGATAGGAGCTGAGAAGGAAGAATCACCAGATTTCTGTGAGGTCAAGATGTATTTGAAACAATTCAGAATAGAGAATCTAATTAGGTGATTTTTGTTTTTGTTTTTGTTTTAAAGGAAAAATTCAGAACCTGTGACTCTTGTTCACAAGCACATGCCTGGATGTAGTCATTTTGAGTTTATGGAAAATGTGGTCAGCCCCATAAATCAGCGCTAAGGAATTCTTACAGTCATCACTGTGCAAGTAATGCAGGTCTGCAGCGAGTCCCCTAAGGTTATGCAAAACAGAACAGAATAAGCATGGAGACAAGGTACAGTATAGTCCTCCCTTCCCTGGAATCCTTTCCTGAGTTGCCATAAGGCAGCTTGGAATTCCTGTTCCTACCTAATCTGTGACCTTCTTGGAGTAACTCCATGTATACACCAAGATGTCTGTGGCTGTTGCCATGCTGACACGGACACAATTCTCTGCATCTATTTCTTCCACATATCTTAAAATTTTAGCAGGATTTCTACAAAGAAAGCCCACTTAAAAGTAAGCTGGACAATCATAATTTATGACAGCGCTGAGAATATGTTCAAATGTATACCAATTCTTAGATCTCCTGTTCCTCAAACCTATGATTTTGTTTGATTGGACAATGAAAGTTCTCAAAAGCATATGGAACATCTTCAAAGGTTAATACAAGCTTTCATTCAGAATTAGTAAATAAGAGATTCAATTTAGCTGTCATTCATTGGAGGAAATTCCATCAGTTTTCATTCCATTGTTGTTGGATTTATCCAATCAGCCTTGCCCCCAAACAGTGTTGGTTCTTACATCTTTTACATGACAATATTTCTTTCTACTCTTTCTCTTTCCTACACCCCTCCCACTTCTCAGGTTGACCCAGTTTATGAATTTATTTCTGCCAAACTAGTCAGCATAGAATGGAATGTTAACAAGTTTTAGTGGAGATATTTTTCAGTTGTCCTGAAAAAATAGGCTTGTACACTGTACCAGCATATCCTGTCATAAAAAATAGTACTGCTGAACCCAAGTTTAGGCATCTTGTTGTTTTTTCCTTCATTTGTTAGATGAGTCTCAGGCATGCTAAAAATTTTCTTAATTTTCCACAGAAACCAGATTTATAACTTATAAGGCCAAACACCACCCTGAGTACAAAGTTTATGGCCTTTGCTCATTTCTGTTAACAGTAGAAATTTGCCATAGCAATGCATTCTTGTTGACTTGCACAGACAAAAATAAAATTCCATATGCCATAAGGGCCACATTGACCCAGCATTTATATGACCTGGCTTTTTTCACGTCATACTTGCCTACTGTCCCTGCCACAACCTGGAGTAGGAACAGCTAATTGGGCAGTAGCTTGCACAATTTATGAAACTTTAGACGAAATCCCCTCAGCCACAAACCACTCATTGTCACCAGGTGCAGAGGGAGAGGGGCCTGCCTAACGGGCTCTGTTCTAGTGTTTTATTTATTATTATTGTACTTTGTAGAAGAGTGGGCAGGGTAAAGATGTGGGATATCTGACACACATCAATTGCAATATGGTTTGAATTTTTACATCAACCCTCCACAGACAGGAGAGAAGCACAAATTAAATAATCATCATAATATCTGCCATGGATTGAGCATTACTATGTGTTCATCACTGAGCCAAATGTTTTACAAACATTACCTTCTCCAACTAGCCACACTATGATGTAGTTATTGTCATCCACTTTATAAAGATGAAGTTCAGAGAGGTTAAGTGACTTGCTTGGAGTTTTCCAGCCAGGAAGGAAGACCCAAAGCTGCCTGATTTGAAAAGAACTCTAAATTAGACACCTTGATTCTGCTTTGGGGTAAATGTGCCTGATTTCCAGAGAAGCGGATGGAAGATGCGGGTGGCCAGTAGTTGAGGCAGCATTTGGTCCCAAGCTTTACTCCGTAAAATTTATGGAAGAGAGACTAGCTCTCACGAGAAGACACAGCAATGGTGTGATTTCAGCAGAGCTGAGGTTGTTTCCAGGGTTGTTACTATGCGAACAGAACAAGTTATTCAGCTTCTCTTGTCCTCTGTTTCCTCATTTACAAAATGAAGACAGGGGCTAGCTGGTTTCTAAGGTTTGTGCTGGCTCCTCCCTTTCTAACTCCTCTTAGTTGTAGACACTCCCAGCTTGGCCCTGACAGTTTTGGGCAACTCCTCATGAGGGTAGAAGATCTTGTGGTCCTGGACCAGCTGGGCCCAACACTTGTTGGAAGATGGTGGGATTTTCCTGTGGTCCCTAGTCCCTCACCCTGTCTTGTGGCTCTGGCGTCCTATTCGTCACCACTGACCTGTGTGGCTGAGGAGCAGCAGGCCCCTCTCCTGGGACTGCCCAAAGTCAGAACCAGCCCCTCTTTATTCACTCACTGTACTTATAAATTAAGCTCAAGTCCTAGGAAGTTAAACCCAATCTATTTTGTCAAAATCCTTTTCAGAAAAGCAAGCCAAAACTCAAGGTCTTATAAAAACCAAAATTTAAAAAATTAGTGTCTGATTTGTCACAACATGAAATAATGGCTGGATTTATATATCTGGAGTTATTCTAGCTCTACAAAGTCAGAGGGAGAGAGAAAAAGAATGTGTGTGTGACACCATTAATGAATCCTACCGTGTCTCCTGGCTGTGGACGCATCACAGACACGCGATCATATCCTTTCCTTAGTAGGACCCACAAGGCATCAAGTTTTCCCTGAAATAAAACAAATGTACCAAGATTACATACGAAACCAGACCAGTGGCCAGCATAGACATGTAGAACTTTCCATGCTTCTTCGGTCATGTGAACAACACAGCATTGGCAAAGTGGTTGGGACAGGATAAATGACTCTCCAGTCCCTAAGTTCAAAATGTGGGTTTCAGGAATGTAGGAGAGAAGAGACACATAACAGAGGACCCTGATGCTCACGCAGGACACCCGAGACTTCAGCGCAGCCCCAAATTGGCAAACATGGAGAAGTTCATTCAGGCTGTTGGCTTTTGCCCCGATCACATTTCTGGGCACATCCTCATGCCGCAAGCTAGTCTTTTCAACTTTCACTAAAGTTTTTTCTTCCCCCTTGGTGCCCAGAGTCCACAAATGAAAACAATGATGACAAATTCAGGAAAATTACTAAACAGAAGTGTTGACAGGGCAAGACCAATTAAAGGCCCCTGGGATGCAGATCCCTGGCTGTCCCCTAGGCTCACTCGGCAGCTATGACTTGCTCAGTTGCCCCAGGCTCCAGGGATAAATTACCAAAAGTCACAGATTACCAAAAATCACAACTCCTTTGGAGCTATAGGTAATTGGTTGAATCTGAGAAGAGCGAGTCTTTTCCCAGTGGTGAAAAAGGGAGTCTAATGCCTGTGGTCATTCTAGTTCCTGAGAATGCTGAATGGGGGCTGGTTCCTACCACAGCAAATACTAAAAGAAAAAAAATAACATTTATTTAGCTTTGCTTTTAGTATTAACCTTGGTTAGTGACTCCATCAACAGGCAGAAGTCACCTTTGTTTTGCCTTATTTTCCTTCCTAGCTCTAGGGGTAGGCAGAAAAATCTGCCCCCCTCCCAAAGACAACATCCTATTTTCTGGAACCTGTGATATGTTACCTTCCATGGCTAAAAGGACTTTGCAGATTGCTCAAGGATCTTGAGATGGGGAGATTATCCTGGATTATCCTGGTAGGCCCAATCTAAACACATGGGTCCTTGATAGAGGGAGGCAGGAGATCAGTCAGAGAAGGAGATGTGTCAAAAGAAGCAGAATCAGAGTGATTCAATGTGAGAAGGACTCAACCCACTACTGCTGGCTTCAGAGATGGAAGGGGTCAATGAGTGTGGGCAGCCTCTAGAATCTGGAAAAATGAGGAGATAGATTCTCTTCTAGAGACTCAAAAGGAATGCAGCCCTGGTCTCACCTTGATTTTAACCCAATAAGACCCACTTTAGGCTTCTGACCTTCAGAATTGCGAGATAATAAATTTGTGTTGTTTTAAGCCAATAAATTTTTGGTAATTTGTTAAGCAGCAATAGGAAACTAATACAGCCCTTATCACTCCCTGACATATTCTGTGTTTATTTGCTTAGAGTCTGTCTCTGCCAACTGGAATGCCAGCTCCGTGAAAGCAGAGGTGTTGCTGGTTTTGTTAATTGCTGTACGTCCAGCCCTCAGGACCGCATCTGGCCCTCAATAACTATTTGTTGGATGAATGAATGCATTCAGCGCTGCTAAGTGCTCTGCTAGGTGCCTTTCCATGTGTCTTCTCATTTCATTCTCTCAGCTGTCCCAAAGAGTTATGGAGAGGAAATGAAGGGTCGGAGAGATCAACTAATTGGCCCAAAGGCACACAGCTTGTGAGCTGGAGAGGTGTGATTGAAACCCATGTCCGTTTAATCCTAAAGCTCATACACTTTCTATTATACCAATTGCAGATTCTTCCTCCTGCAGTTCTTCTGGCTGGAGTGCTTTAATTTAGATCCTTTGGAATAGGGTTTCTAAACAGTGGGTTGCAACTCTTCAAGCCCTCATGAAACAATTTTGCGGTTAGGCCCAGAATTTTAAAGAAATAAAACAGAAAAGAAAATATTAGAGTTAATTGCACATGGTGAGGATAAGTATTATTTGGTGAAAAATCTGTTTCAGTTAAACGTGTATGGGTGTGTGTGTGAGTGTGTGTATGTGTGTGCATGCATGCTCTGATCTGGAAGAGGTTTTTGAAGGATAGTGCTGGAAAGGCTGGGAAGTCTAGAGCTCAAGTTCCTTGACATAAAGCTTATATGGTGGCAGTGTCAATTTAAAAATATCATCTTGAAGACTTCATGTTCTGAAATTATTTTCTGATGGGTTATGTTTAGATACAAAAAAATATGCTCTTGATCCTTTATCAGTAGCTATTCGAGTTCTTGCGGGTTAAATTTTGTCTTGCTAAGAGTAGCGTTTCTCATTTCTTCTGGCAAAGTATTTACAAAAGTCTCTAAAAATATTTTGAAATGACTTTAGAATGCTGGATAGAACTGCTGCTGTGTTCAGCATGGTTTTCTGTATTAAACTGTTTCAATCATCAGTTAAATGTTTTCCTTTAAGGTTCTTTGGGATAAGCGTTTATATTTCAGGATATAACCAGGTGGATTTCCTGGACGAATGCCTCTTTTCTTTTTCTTTCCCTTTTTCGGGGGACTCGCAGTATTTGGCTTTGTAAATCAGCCCACCCACAGCGTTCCGTGCGCTAGTCACTCAACCCCTTGACAAATGAGGAGCGATGAGATGGGGCTGAAAGAAAATTTGGCTGTTGAAGAAGTGTATTAATTAACTCAGCAGAAATTTAAAGCTACATGCAAAGCAAAAGAGCAGAAACCACCAGATGTATAATGCCAGGAGAATGCGTAGTAAATTACGTTTCTTTGTGGCAACAGATCATAGTGTAACATTTAAGCTCAAAATGACTCAATTCAGATTGCCTGAGTTCGTATTTGGGTCTACCCCTCACCAGCTCTGCAGCCTTGGACAAGTGGTTTCATCTCCCTATGCCTTACTGTTCTCATCTTTAGAATTGAGATAATAACACTGTCTACCCTATAAACTTGTTATAAGGCTTACAATTAGATATCGAAGTCAGGTACTTATCTCATAGAAAGTATTCATTAAATGTTATCTATGACCATGGTAAGTCATTAAAATGATAATTCGGGAGGCTCTGCAGAAAGATGGAAAAAAATGTAACAGAGTGTGAGAATCCAATAATTTGGACTTGACAAGCATGTATCTACCCGTCTTCTATTCTGTACTCTGCCAACTCCTTTTCCCCCTTTCCTTCAAGCTACACTTCTCATTCCTCTTCAGCACGCCATAGTCTGGCTTCTATGGCAGTATTTGTCGGCCCCAACACTCCACCAAAGCTATTCTTACTAAGGTCACCCACAGCATACAAAGTGCCTAATGCCTTGGCCACCTTTGGCCTCATTTTATTTGGTTCTTCTGAGAGATCTGATGCGCTGGGCCTCTCCCTTCTGCACACTCTCCCTTGGCCTCAGCGCCATCAGCCTCTGCCTGCACCTCCCTACCTCTCTGATTCATCCTTTTCAGCCTGTTTTGCTTCTTCTCCACCTACACTTGACACAGCGGTGTTCTTAGCCCTCTTCTATTCCTGTGCCTCAGGCTGAGTGCTCACCCTGAGAATTCTCATCTATTCTCAGGGGCTGAACGTCCACCCGTCTGCTGAGGGCTCACAAATTCTATCTTCAGCTTAGTCCTCTCTTGAGCTCCGGATATGGGTGTCCAATTACCTACTAAATCTTAGTTGTAAGGTAGATATATCACAGGTATTGAAAACCAAACATCACAAATTGAACTATCTTTTCCCAAACCTGCTCTTCTTTTGGCATACCCTGCCTTGGTTCATGGCACCACTGACGTCCAGACAGGCAAGTTGACACCAGAGAATCATTCTCACCTCCTCTCCGTCTGCCACCTCCTCATATCCAACTTTGACCACGTCTGGCGGATGTTCTCTCTGTAACAGCTCTTCTGTTGCCTCTTCCTGTCCACCCCCGCCCCACCATCTCCATAGCGACTGCCTTGGCCCTGGTCCTCATGATCTTTCCCTCATTCTGTGAACAGTTTCCTGATTGGTCTTTTACCTTCAGGCTCCCTGTCTTCTCTCCTACTTGATTAATAATGGATTTCATTGCTAGCCCAAATGGAAGAAGCATTGCGGCTAACAAAAAACGCCTAAGAAACACCTTACTAGCAGTGTGAATTTGGGCAAGTTATCTAACCTCTCTGTGCCTTGGTTTTTCCATTTGTAAACTGGGAGTAGCAGCAGTTTCTACTTTTGGGGGTTGTTGTGAGAAACAAAGGAGGGAGTGTATGGAAAGCTCTTGGAACTGTGCCTGACTTGTGGTCACCCGGGTGAGCGCTTTATCCAGGTGAGTGCTCCATCCAGGTGAGCTTCTGTCGTTGGGCTCTTCTGGACCAGGTGAGCTAGCTAGTTCCGGTTGTACCCTCAGTGTTCTGAGTTCTGACTGTCCCACAAATGAACCTAGAGTCCCCACTCTGTGGCACAGAAAACAATCTGGGTAATCTACACAGCCTATAACTGTTTCTACTCCTACATCAAGTAGCTATTTATGCAAGGGTTGAAGTAAGCTTTAGAATAAGAGTGTTCACAACAAAGAAGAGGATAAAAAGTAATTCTCCAAAGTCAAAGAGAAGCACATAACAAAGGCTCCTGGAGCCTTGATTCTCTGAATTTAGGTAGAAGCTTGTCATTTCAAGACAGTAGCTAATGGATTTATGAATAACATCCCTTTGGGGTCAGAAGAGCCTCAGGGGAGTCTTCCAACCAGTCCCTGGGCTTTATCCAAAGCCTAGGGAGGAGGCTTTGAATTGACTCCACTATTATCTCAGATTTGAGTGTCCATCATGCACAGGCCTCTCCACAGGACACATTTAAGACCCTGGGCTTCACTCCCCAGGGGAAATACCCAACTGCTTCTGGAAGCCAAAAGATTCCCCCACCAACCTGGGGACTCTCTGCCAGAGTGTATGAGCTGACATGTAAAAATAGCTTTCTTTCATATGAAGTTGACACATCTTGACTATAAAATGAGAAATTTACCAATTCCAGGCTCCCAAACTGTACCTCAGCCTCAGACAATAATGTCCAATCCACAAAGGCAGACAAACTGGAAGTCCTATGTAAACGCTGTTT